GGGCAGTTCAACTTCTGAGGAGCAGAGGGAGATTTTTATGAATCTAGAGAAAAATGGAACGTGGCCCACTGTCCCAATGCATACAAATCTCATCTATTCCACAGTGATCCTACCAACAACACTTCCTTTCCTAGGATGACAACGCTCACTCACTTTTTTTGCCATGGAACAGCAGTGTTGTCATCATTGGGCAGAACACGGTTTCCCAATGCATAAAAATCTCCCTTTCAATGTCCTATTCCTAATTTGTTTTTTCTTTTTTTCTTTTAGGGTAGATGGCTGTTTATTATGTACCACATACGTACTGGGCATTGGTCGACGTAGACTTTACTGGATGCCTATAGTATTAAATGTCCATTCAAACGTGGCCATTTTTGCCAAAATGCATCATTTTAATGCATTTCCAGTTATTTTAATTGAAAATGCATCTGCCAAAAACAGACAAGTGTGAATGGGTCCCTAAAGCTAAGGCTGCTAAACCAGGTTGGTCAAAAACCCTATCAATATATTTCAAGCAATTATTTTGTGCTCGCAGATAGAATATTGTGTCAGTCTCCATTAATCTGCTACGCATAGCACAGGCACACGTCCCATCATAGCCAACGCTTGTTTCGAATCCCCCTACTGTGTATATGTATAGAGAATTCAGAAATACATACCTAAAAATGTGCTTCCGCCAAACTTTTTATTTGGCAATTGGACCACAAAAAGTCAAAAAGTGACCTTATTTTAGACTGCAGGAAGAGAAGTTTCTACACTACAGTTCTGCTTTTTTTTAATAAAAAACCCGTTCCTCCCAGAATAATGAAGTGAACATTCACTAGTCATATCCTGTTAAAGTGCTACAAAACAGCAATGTAGCAATAACCGTACCAGAAAAAAACATTTTCTCTTTGATGTTTTAATATGAATAATTCAATTAGGGTTCATTTACAATGTCAGGCAGATGCCATTCACACAGCACTAGTGTCCCTAGATGGAACTGACGAGTATAGGAAGTTTGTTTTTTGAAAAGAACTCCAGCAACAATTATTTGAATACCTTGCTGTGCGACTACCCCTCTACTGCAAGGGTTAAGTACTCTTTTTTGTCTAGGGTGTAAAATAAAAAAAGTTATACTCACCTTGGAGCTGGCTTGCTCTAGTGTATGGCCAGCAGTCTAATCTAGATTTCCAAATTAAGTTTCGTATGAAAGATCTTCTTTTTACCACCCGATAACGTCATCAGACATTTGAGGAATGTTGATCAAAATTTCCTTTGATTTTAATGTTTGATTTTGGAATGAATGGAGTCTCCATAGCGAAAACCACATTCACTGTTAGGATTTTGTTCAGTCATCCTGCTCCTTCGCGTTTTTTCATCACTACGGTTGAAATTGATCATCGATTTTTCCTCGTCAACTAATAGAAAGTCGAAAGAAAGATCTTTTGTACGAAAGTTCTTTTAGAAAATCTATTAGTGTATTGCCAGCTTAAGGATCCTAAAGGCACAGGGGTGCGGATTTCCTATCGCCTGACGCCCGGGAGATCCAGTTCTGGGCGCCGAGTGGGTGTTTTTTCTACATTTAGCCCTGCTGCAGGCTAGCAGAGCTAAATGTAAAGAGTGGGAGACGCCGCTGATTTAGTACAAGTGATCTCAGATCACTTATATAAAATGAGCAGCCATCTTGTCCAAGGCCTCCCCTGCAATCATTGCAGGATGGAGAGCGGGCAGCAGAAGATCTTCTCTCTGGGATCAGTGAGAAGGGAGCACTTTACTCACAGCACCCCCATCTCATCTGTCACAAGCTGCACAGAGTCGAGCACAATGCAGTTGCTCGATGTTCTGTGTTGGAGGACAGGTTCCATAAGGAGAATCTGTCACCTCCAAACACTATGACACAGGGGGCTTCTTAGCCCATGTGGTAGTAATAAAGTTAAGTGAAAAAAAACTGAAAAAAGTAAACCATAATAACATTTAAAAAAATGATAAAACAGTAGAAAGCAATACAAATTAAAAAGTGATAAAAAATTATAAATAAAAAATAAATGATAAAGTAAAAAAACAAGAATTTTTTTTTATAACCAACCCTGGCCCCGCCGCCATCTTCTCTCTAACACGCATAATGTGCATTAAAGGGTAAGTTCAGTTTCCAAAGTAATTTGGTAAAATTGAATTATCCGCTTAAATCTAGTCAACCTTCACCCCCTCTCCCCACATTGCCTCCCCCAGCGCTATACTTACCTTTCAGTGCACGGTACTTCCCCTCCACCAGCACAGGTGTACTATCAGTACCCCATACTGCCGTCCAGAATAACCCTGCCCTATGGATTTTTAATTTTGCTCACAAATTGCGAGTGCTCGTTGGTCAGCGCGGTCAGATGACCACGTTGACCAATGACAATTGCTTCTTCGCATGGTTAAATAGGGTTTTGGTTAAAATAATTTTTGGTATCAGGACAAGTAGATTGTCATGAGGTTCAAGAAGATTTGGCCCCCATTTTACTCCTTGAACAAGTCATCATGTCCAATACACCCGAGTCATCATGTCCAATACACTGTGTATAGAATGTGAGGACACCGAGGGACATTCCACCGCTGGAGCGGAGGAGGAGAGAGGCTGCAGGGACCAGTCTAGCAGCAAGCCGCTTCCAAGTTTCATGTGATTATATCTTTGTTATTTTACACGACAGACAAAAACAAGCACTTGACCCTTGCAGTGCAAAAGTAGCCGCACTACAGGGGTTAAGAATAATCTTTTCCAGAGTTCTTATTTAAGTGAACGGGCGGAGCTTTTATACATGATCCCCCAAGTATTGCTTAGTGGTACTTGGCTAAGCCTACCGTTACACATACTACATTATTTTGAGGACAGGGAAAACTGAAACTTAAAATAACACAGTGAATTGAAATATAAAAACCATTTGACCACAACTATGCATTTTGAAAGCCATGGGTTAATTGCAGAAAGCATGTTGGTGCTGCAGGGCTGGACAAATCCCAAGGGTTAGCTAGCCAATGCTCTTGAAAACCAAAGCTGGCCATACACCTATAGATTATCTGCAGATTTTCTATGGTCAGATGGGAAAAGTGCAACAGATTCCTTTATCTACCCCAAACGGTGTGGCTGGAGGAACCTCCCACTGGGCCAAGCTTCAGTATCTTGCTGGTCGTCCACGCTGGCTCTCAAAATACCTGAACAATGCCGGCATCCAATCAGATTGTTCAGGTATTTTGACAGCCAGCGGGGCTAACCAGCAACATACTAAAGCTTGGCCCAGTGGGAGATTCCTCCAGCCACACAGTTTAGTGTAGATGGAGGAATCTTTTGCACATTTTCCATCTGACCATATAAAGTCTTCAGATGCTCTATAGGTGTATGGCCAGCTTTACATGTGTTGCCTAACTTTGGAGGTTCTCAAGTTGTCAATAGCTCTGGCTCCTACACAATCCTGCTGGTTCCTGGACTGGACGGACTGACTCCTGAATCCCATAATAATCCATCCACCCCTGTTGTAATGTGAACTTTCAAAGTTTTGATACAGTGACAAGCCTCCTAGGAGGGAATTCATCGCTGTGCCCAATGAAAGCACACCCGAAATGGAGCATGCCGGAGACTGACAGTGTGCTTCCCAATGTACCTCAGAATCAAATTGGATTCTGACTCTGACTCGGGCAGAAATTTAAAGCCCATCTCCCGTTAAAAAAAAAAAATACCCTTGGAGTGGGGCCACACTGCACTGCAAGGCTTAACTGCTAGGGTTATAGTGTAAAAACACCTGATCCCCGCTTTTGCTGGATTGTGCCAGCACCTCAATCAGGGATGGGCAAACTCCAGGCCCCCAGCTGTTGTGGAACTACAAATCCCATACGGCATTGCAAGATTCTCACAGCCAGAGGCATGAAGGGATTTGTAGTCTCACCACAGCTGGAGAGTCGGAGTTTGCCTTCCTCTGTCCTAAATGAATATCTCACTATTCCTTATGAAGAAGACATAACACTAGTGCAGCACCATAAAGCTATGAAAAAGGACCAACACCCAAAATAAACAACATAAATAAATATACAGGTCATATTTAACCTAACACGTTCAAAACAACCATGTGAAATGACTGTGAAACATAGCAATCCATAAAAGATACATAAAATAATAAAAATATTACACATGTTCCAGCGTAACAATACAAGTGGACAGTCACACTGACATGGACTTGTAACACTAGAACATGTATTTACCAGAGAATATTTGTTATTGTTTTCCCCGCTATCACATTCATGTTAAACAAAAGACATTGCGCTATCCCCATTGTCAGTGTCTTTTGTTTAACATATGGTGGGAGCAGTTTACAAAGCTTCTCTCTTTCTCTGCAGCTGTCAGTAGGGTGTTATTGAGGAGTTTGGGGCAAGCATTATGGCACGGATAATCATTTGTTTTTGCCATCACATTCCTGGATTGATATGTTTCACAGTCATGTCACATGGTTGTTTTGAACGTGTTAGGTTAAATATTACATATAATGTTTGTGACACGTGTTGCTAATGTTCATATATTACATTAACTATAACTGGAGCAGGCAGAATCTGCAGTAGCTGTGCATGGCAACCAATCAGAATCTAGCTTTCACTGTCAAAGCTTAACTAAGCAAGCTGAAGCTAGAAGCTGATTGGTTACTATGCACAGCTGCTCCAGTCTTAGTAAATTCCCCCCACAGCATAGTATTACATACGTTGTAATCTGTAGGACAGAACACATGACATAAATAGGGTTTAGTTTATCAGCATGTCCTCAGTACAGAAGTACAATGCAGCGATCGTGTACTTTGTGTCTTGAGGATGTGGAGTGATTAGGGACACACCTAAGACTGTATGTACACACTGCATGTAGGTTTCAATGAGGCTCTGTAGCGTCAGATGTAGACATCCAGCGTGGCTCATCACCCAGTGTGTACACACAGCAGTCATCGCACACCCCCTGATTGTATCCCCACAATTACAGGTACAGAACAAATCACAGTGATCACCTTCTCCCTCTTGTCCCAGCTGTACTGCTTGTTCTCCTGCCCGTCTTGCTGTTGTTGCTGTTCTCCGGGTGCCGAGTCTTTGGCGCTCCCCTTTCTCTTGGCTTTCTTAGAGAAGGCACAGCCCATGTCTAGGCAGTAGATGAACGGGTCACACAGGGATCAGGCAACCCCGGGCAGCAGCGACCAACTCCTGCTAGGAACAGACACACAACACGCACGCGCAGCGCGTTCTCGGAAGATTCACAGGACCTGCGCGGTCACATGACAATGCCTCTGCAGCTGCCCAGCAACACAACTGTTTAGTGGCGTCACCAGCGGCCGTGCGCGTCCATAATCCGCCCCACCTCAACTTCCTGTTTCTGACCTTTTTTTTTTTTTTTCCATTGCATAGCTTTATTAGTAAGCACAGGATTGCCATGATGTGTCCCACAATTAGGTTCCATTAACACCTAGGCTTATTGTCACAGTTGATTCAGTGCGACAAGCCGTTCCACCCAAGGAATCCCATTCATTTACATGGCCCCATTTACACCTGTTAGTTTTGTCGCAAGTAGAAATACGCCTGTCGCTCACAATAGTGCATGAGCTACTTTTAGGGTTGCCACCTTTTCTTCAAGTGAAACCCGAACATTTTAGAGCCGCTTTACTGTGGTCCTTAGGTGACATTAGGGGCCTGAAAGACCCCTCATATCTTCATAAAAAGGACCTGTAATGTCCTAATTGCTATTACATAGGGGGTTGTTAGCCCCCCTTGTGATAGCAATAAAGTTAAGTGTAAAATAAACATTAAAAAAAATTAACCACCTCCTGTCCATTGGGCGTTCCTGAACGGCCGGACAGCAGCCTTAAGGTGCCCATACACCTTGCGATTATCGTACGATAATCGCGGGAAATCCCGCGATCGTACGATAATCGCAAGGTGTATGGAAGGCGTGTGGCCTCTGCTACTGTGAGGTCGCATGACTTTTATCTTAAGAGCATGTTCAAAAACCCGCCGAGAATCGTACGATTGTCAGCGGGTTTGTGGCATGCTCGTAAGACAAATGCCGAACGGGCCGGTGTGCGCAAGCGCACACTGCCCGTTAAGCATTGCAGCCATCGGAAGCCTGCCCCTCAGGGGGGCGGGTTTGCGATGATCACAAGTACGATCTGCCTGCCCAAGATGGGCAGATTGTACGTTTTTTTTAATTACCTTACAACCATCGCAAGACAAAAGTCTTGAGATGGTTGTAAGGTCTATGACCAGCTTTATAGGAGCAGGATGGCATCTTTAGACGTCCTTCCCCTCCCCCCAATCGTGTGCGGTGCCCAGCGCGCACACGAGCGGGGAAACTGTCAGAAATGTAAACAGCCAGCGATTTCTGTTTACATTCAAGCGATCGAGCGTCTCTAGAAACGTTCGATGGCTTGTATTAGGTGCAGGTGTGTGCCCACCCTGCCGTCGCCGCCGGTCACGAAATCAGATGTGCCTGGTGTGGCAGGGACCGGCATGGCGACTTTGTCGGTGGGGAACAAAGGGAGTTCGGTACACGATCGCCCTTTGATCTCTTCTCGGTCCCTGAATGTAGGAAGTGATGCATATTACATCACTTCCTGCATTCAGTGTCACTCTCACGCTACAGATGGCGGTCAGATGCTGCTGAAGCAGATCTCTGCTTCATCAGCTTCTCTGGGGTTCCCCAGGTGACATTAGGGGTATTAGAGACCCCTGATGTCTCCATAAAGAGGACCTGTCATGTGAATTGGCTATCACATAGGGGTTTCTCAGCCCCCACATGTGATAGCAATAAAGTTAAGTATAACAAAAAAAAAGGTTTTAAACAAATTAAAGCATTACAAAAATAAAGAAACATAAAAAGTCACAAATAAATTTTTTTTTAAATAACCCAACATTTTTTTAAAAGTCCCCCGCCCCCCCCCCCCACATACACGCGCAAACATGCGTCGGGTGCACCTGCGTGCAAAAACGATGATTCTGCCTATTGTGCCGCACATGTTACATATTACTGCAAACGTCGCAGTGAGCGCAATAATTTTAGGGCCATTAAAGGAGAATTATGGTGTTAAGGCTTTTCCTCATAGTTCTCCTTAGGGTAATGGGAGTACACAAACTAGCGTCCTCCCGTTACCCTAATCTCAGTATACCGTATACTGAGACGCCGCAGTATACCGCGAGCTGCTGCTCGCGGTATACTGAGACGCCGCAGCTGAAGCGGATCCCGACAATTGTGCCGGGATCCGCCCAGCTGCGTGACTGACAGCTGGCTCTGCCTATCTAGAGGCAGAGCCAGCTGTACCCGCCCCCTCCCCCCATCTGTTCCGCCAGTCAGCGCTGGGTGTTTTTATTTTTGTATGTTTTGTATACCTTGTATACAAATAGTTGGGGGGTTTTTTCCCTTAAAAAAAAAGCTGCAGGTAGAAAAAAATCTGAAAAAATGGCGCAGTTTCAAGCACACACTAGATCTTTTTGTAAGCTCTGTTTTTTTTAATGTAAAAATATAAGTCCTTATTGAAGTCCTTGGCGTGGGGCACCTTTTCCTGCAATGTGTTCTAGTTACCCCGGTTGATGCTGGTGGACTGGTGACTACAGCACAATGCACTTTATCGAGCCTGTTTAGTGTGCACTCTGTGATTCAGTGCATAGAAAAGAGACCTCATGCATATGACATCAGAAATACAGATACTCCAGGACATACATAGCAACATACATCACAATGTGCAAGATAACTTACCTTTCCATGCTCTGTCAGGAGTGGGCAACTTTGGCCCTCCAGCTGTGCTTTACCTACAAATCCCAGCATGCCTCTGCTTCTGGGAGTCATACCTGTAACTGTAAAGCTGGCCATACACCTTACAATTATCTGCAGATTTTCTGTGGTCAGGTGGAAAAGGTGCAACAGATTCCTCCATCTACACTTAACTGTGTGGATGGAGTAATCTCCACCTGGGCCAATCTGTTGCACCTTTTCCATAGATGTTTTCCATAGAGTCAATAGCTACAGACCTCCAAACTTTGTGTGGCCTTCAGATTGGCACAACAACAGTGCGTAGAGAGCTTCATGGAATGGGTTTCCCTGGCGAGCAGCTGCATCCAAGCCTTACATCACCAAGTGCAATGCAAAGCGTCGGAGGCAGTGGTGTAAAGCACGCCGCCGCTGGACTCTAGAGAAGTGAAGACGTGTTCTCTGGAGTGATGAGTCACGCTTCTCTGTCTAGCAATCCAATGGACATGTCAGGGTTTGGCAGTTGCCTGGAGAACGATACTTGCCTGACTGCATTGTGCCAAGTGTAAAGTTTGGTGGAGGTGGGATTATGGTGCGAGGTTGTTTTTCAGGGGCTGGGCTTGGCCCCTTAGTTCCAGTGAAGGGAACTCTTAAGGCATCAGCATACCAAGACATTTTGGACAATTTTCGTGCTCCTAACTTTGTGGGAACAGTTTGGGGATAGCCCCTTCCTGTTCCAACATGACTGCGCACCAGTGCACAAAGCAAGGTCCATAAAGACATTGATGAGCGAGTTTGGGGTGGAGGAACTTGACTGGCCTGCACAGAGTCCTGACTTCAACCCGATAGAACACCTTTGGGATGAATTAGAGCGGAGACTGTGCGCCACTCCTTCTCGTCCAACATCAGCACCTGACCTCACTAATGCGATTCTGGAAGAATGGTCAAACATTCCCATAGACACACTCCTAAACCTCGTGGACAGCCTTCCCAGAAGAGTTTAAGCTGTTATAGTTGCAAAGGGTTGGCCAACGCAATATTGAACCCTATGCACTAAGACTGGGATGCCATTAAAGTTCATGTGTGTGTAAAGGCAGGCGTCCCAATACCTTTGGCAATATAGTGTATATATTCTGTGTATATACTGTATATGGATAAGGTGATAGTCTGGGTTCATCAAATTAAGCTGGAAGAGTCTTGCCAGATTCTAGAGAGGAAAGATCTGCTGCCACTTCATATTCCTGAACTGCATAGCTTTCTGCCCCTGTATCAGTGAGGTGAATTGATATCGTGGACCTGGGGCCAAAGGCTGTGTGAGGGGGATGCTTGAGTGTGCTAATGCACCCTAAATACCCTACAATCCTAGATAAAAAGCATTGGCAGAGGAACGTTAGGTATGTTGTGGGTTACTTCATTACCATAGGGACGCATTAGCCTAACTCTGCGGCTGAGTAGTCCTACAGCCACAGCTTATAACACTTAATTCTGTAGTTCCACTGTCAGTCCCCAACAGAGTTATTTGCCCTCTGCCTCTGCAAGTGTGCATGCTTCTGGAATCTGGTGTTGAGAGGAAGCACTGTTGGACGGATCATACCTCCTGTCTGCTGGGCTGGTTGACCAGTTGGCCTACCTGTGTACTATTTATTCCCTGGCAAGTCTGCAAGCTGCTCTGGCCAGAAATTGCAATAATAGAGCACTACTCTTTACTATCCCAGTCCACACTGATGCAAATGAGTGTTGATATACCAGTGGCACCAGAATGCCATAGTAGCTGCTTCTAAATGCCACAAATCTTTATGCGCATGTATGTCAAATGGACAAGGAAGTGTTAAATAGAAGTAGCAATGTCAAGTTGATCAAAACTTGTAGCGTCCCTTTCCTCCAAATGTGCAGAGATTTGAATCATAGCTTCTGTATGCGACCACTCAGAATGTTATACCTAAATAGAACTTATTACCGCAGCTCTATTTAGGAATAGCCCACAGCTCTATTTAGGAATAGCATGCCTAAAGTTTTATTTATCTGCAATAGGAGATAGGTACACTCAGAGGGGTTATACCTATAGGGATATAATCATAAACCGCAGCTGCTCCTTAGATAACCAAACCAACAGTTTACTATTTTTAACCCTATTAGAACAAATAAAGAAGGCAGTGGGTTTTAATGAGTGAAAAAGAGATCATGTAACAGGAGTTCCTGGTTTTGCCTTTAAAGTAGCAAACATATTCAGCTTTCTTTTTATCTTTAATCACGGGACTCTGGGATTTTTTATAGGATTGATTAATGGTCAAGGTATTTTCCCTTCTCATATATGCTTTGGAAGCAAGGTACATAAAACTACATATCTACAAAATTATCAATTCATCAACCTCCATATGCTTCACATCTCTTAGTCCCCATTAACAGCTTGATTATTATAATATTATTATTATTATTATTATGATTATTATTATTATATTAAGTAGACGTCAATTGCTGAATACCACATGGATAGTGTTTCTCCATATTGATATACTGTATCTTCTATTTGGGTCTTAAGTTTTTACAATGGCATGTTCATACTTTCTTCAACTGTATCAAGCTACCTTGTTGCAGGTCGTCCTCT